CCAAGCTGCCATGCTACCCTAAGGAAGAACGAGGGCTGGGATACTGCCAAGTTACTCAAGCCTAGGTAGGGGAAGGAGGCAGGCAGAGTTCGGATTCGAACCACGGACCTTCCGGTCAGTAAATTCACATTCTAACTAACCACTTGAGCCATCTCGCCCCCACTGTTATAAAACCACTTGAGCCATCTCGCCCCCCCCCACTGTTATAACTAAGGCAAAGGGGACTATTAGACCTTATCTGGAGGCCGCCCTCCCTTCTGGAAGTTTCTTTTTAGGTATTCCTAGTGTGCTACCTCTCAGATAGTTGTCATATGCATGAAAAACCAATAGCCGAGTGAATCTGAATGACACAAAGTGAAGTCACTTTGGTACGGCTACCGTATCTTCTCCCCATAAGACTAGAGCAAAACCAATTGCAATTTTTCGTGTAAAGTAACAACGCAAAGGGTATATGAAAGTTGAGATTTTTGCAAGGTATGTCTAAGCGGAAGATGTGGTCATCAAAAATGAGTTGCATCTGAAGAAATAAGCAAGCGGGTGCATACAGTGGAGTGTAGCCCAAGCAAGAGAACAAGGAATGAATCCTGCTCATATGCCCTATACAACGCCAACAATGCTGTAACAATAGTGACGGCGTCGAGAAAAACCGTGAGTACGCTACCCTATGTGTGCAGCGGACGCAAGGATAAACTCGAAAACCCAGTTTCCATCGACAGTTTACATGCTGAAGTACAATTAAGCAAATCTGGGTCGATAGTTCTCTCTAAAGAGTATTTGACAGCTTCACTGAACTCTGTGGGACAAGCATAAGCCGGATAGGCACAACGTTTGTCTGAACAGGTGGGGGGCCATTACAGTCAGAACATATGAGTACACGGTTGTCCTTGAACCGACATACTCAACTCGTATAGGTCCGAACTTCTGAAGAAAAGACAATGCAGGCCATTTGATTGGGTAATCGTCAGGCGAATACCTCATTCCATGCATTCGGAAACTCGTCTAGGAGACAGTGTATAAAAAACGAATAAAAAACGGGAACAATGCTCCGACCTGAATAAGAAACCACAGAAACTACCGTTCAAACGCCGAAGCCGTAGTTCCATTAGATCCTGGCGCTGACCTCTTATTCAACATCAAGAAAGTGATCACGAACCCCTCCCCCCAAGCTTGGCCGTTGAAATTTTCATGACACATCGGTCAGTTAGTCGCAAACCAAGTGGTGAGGCAGAGCTACACAGCTTTTCTTGTCGCTTTGTCCACCTAGAAGCATGTGGCAGGAATATCGTGCACAACGTTCAACTACTCATCGTAGGGGACTGTGCACTCAGCGTTCATACCCCCCGAGCTGATACAGTAGAACTCCTCTGCGACAGCTACTTTGCTATGGTTATCGTTCGTGGTCAGTTCAGTCAAATTCCTGTTATGATTCGCGAGTTCCCACCTTCCTAGTTGAAACAGCTAGGGCGAATTCGCGGCCGCTCCACCAGCCACACCGACTTCGTCCTGCAATTAAAGGTAGGCGTGAATTTCACACTGGACACCATTCCGTTTTCAAACGTCAAGCTACAACACTGCAGCCTTCGCTTATCTGGAGCAGCCTCTATTGACCAAGTCCATCACTTAATGGTTGCACATGGTACTTGGCACAACAAACGCGGTTGGTAGGCATTCAAGAAAGGGAAAGAAAGCTTCAAGTACTCCGAAAGACATTTTATATTAAATGAAACTAACACATTCGGCCTCAAAGTACCAGAAGAACCACCCTCACCAAGTTCCTGATAACAACGAAACCCACCGGATTCCCTTTGATCTGTCACCAGGAACAGGCGATATTCTAGACTGCAGCAACTAATGTTATCATCTCAAATTCCTTACTTCCGGTCAGAAAACGAAGTGAAAGTGTGGAAACACAAAGAGCAGAACTATGGTTATTTATGCCTAAGTCAGGTGGGCAACCCATAACTGATGAGTACATAATTGATTGAACAAAGGCAATGGCAAGAATCACGCTTAGAATAGCAGCGAAAAGTAACAAGCGAGGCGACTACAATGTCCAAATCGTATGGAAAACCGAAGGTCTTTGGTGCTGTTAGTAGATGTACCTGGCGACGCCAAGCAAAATGAAAACACAAAAAGACATGCATACTTACCTCCGACGTGGATGTCACACTTAAATGGGATCCGTTGGAGAAAGAACTGGGCAATGGCGTGGACCGACAGGTTGCGACAGATGCCCCCGACCCGGCTGTAGACGTTTTCACCGCCGACGATGGTGTGGCCAGAGAAGAAATATTTGAAGCTTGTTGTTGTTGTTGTTGGAGAGCAGCGGCGGCTGCTAAAAGTGCCGATGTATTTATTGAATTGGGATCGGACACAGAAACAAATGGGGTGCCGAGTGCAGCCATTGGATTCAGTGCTGTTGGTAGAGCTGGACCCCCGGGTGTCAAGTATGAACCCAGGACAGATGCTGGGATGGCCGGTTGAAATGGGCTGGTTGACGACCAAACAAAACCGGATGACAGACCACCGGGACCAGTGACAGGCTGTGTTGGTTGCATCGTGAGACAGTTGGCAGTGGCGGTTGACGACTTCGATGTGGACGGATATTCGGTGGTCCCAGTTGAAAGACGAAAAAGAAGAGATAAGGAAGTGTCACACAAAACGTGGAAACGAGACCTGTCCACGGAAAGATTCTTCAGTCATGAGATCACAGTGGGTAGACAGTAGGTCAATGAGTTAGTCAGTTTTATATGTCTCGGACACAGCCAAGATGTGCGTACATGTTGTGTGCGCACGTGCGCACATGACCCTTTCAGAAAAGAGCGACATCATTAGAGGTGGTTGCACCGCTTTGCACCAGCTACCAGCGCTGGCCAGTGGCAACAGAAACAACGCAAAACATCCTAACAGGTGCGCTGATCGGTGTATGTGCAATGTTGACGGTCTTGTGGGGACACACTACAACGAAACATCCACACCAGGCACACACATGAACAACGTTGACACGGCTACACGCATACGATCAAACACACGTTCATTGTAGTTGGAAGACTGGTACGCATACTCGTGTATCAATGTGTCAGTAGGTGCGGTCACACTCGCTAATGGATAGACATGCAGCAGAGCTTATCCAATTGTACGGGTAGGTTAAGGATAGCACAGAGAACCTCAAACCTACTGCTAGTGAAGGGTGGTGAGCAAACTCTGAACTGGACGGAGAATCCATCCCACGAACACATCCGGTGTAAGCAAATGGCGAGCACCCACACAAAAATGAACATGCTGCACACTGTTTAGCAGACGCGCAAGAGCGCAGTACAATATTGAAATTTGAAGAACAGTGGAATTCGTGCGCACCAATCGATGGCGTGTTCTCAGGTCAACTGGTGTGAAATAAGATGAGTTACACTTCAATGGAATTTGAAGTACATGGACGGGTAGAATACAACGCGAAGGCGACAACACCAGTCGAGGTAGAACGCATGGTTCCCGAACAAACGGTACGTAGACTCACGGTTCCTAGGATGGTGGGAAGGCGTCAGTAAGGACTTGGATATTGTGTTTCATGTGTTCCCACAAAATGTTAACGTCCACTGATTTTAACTCCCAAACCAACAACCATATTTACAGCCACTTTCATTTTAGGGGACGAACTTTTCCAGACGTTCCACAGCTTTGTCGTGGGTTGTATGGGTAGTGCCCGGCGGCTAAAACGAAACACATAGGGCGACGGCTGTGGCCTAGAGATGGTAGTAGCTGTGGGTTAGTCAAATCTTATCCTCCAGGCGACAGCACCAAATAGAACATGCTGTCAACCTTGTCCCTTCCTGCACAAATTGACCTAGATGCAGCTCCAAGACTGTAAGGTAGAAATCATCTGTGTACAGGTCAGCAGTGGGTGTGTACTTGTCGTTGACCCAGTCGAATAAAGCGCAACTGAAGTCCCTGAGGACAAGACAGTGGCCTCCATTGACAAACCGCTTCAGGTAGGTCAACAGGAGAAATGGCTGAAGTGTTTCCCCTATGTTCCCGTAGTCTCTGTGTGAATTTCACACCAAACACACTCAATAGCTGTTGAAGCGGTGGTCACACACCACCACGCAGCGGAATGGATTATGTTCTCTTATAATAATCACTGATTCGCTCGTCAACCGAGTTTTTCCTACTGCAATGATTGATAGTGAATAACTAGTCTCGTTCCAGAAGGGCTCAGTAAACAATCGGCAACGTCTCACCCTTGACACGAAGGTCTGATCACATCAAGTGAGCAGCTTACCAAGTTGACTAGAATATAAGACAGACCGAGAACCAATCAGCAAAACCTGTCCCGATAAGCACTCCAGATCAGTGTTGAATCCTAGTCAAAAGGCTATATCGGTTAGTTTGGTTGCCTAAATCTTACGGCTGATGGGTTGGGGGAGTTTCGAATTATTTTTGTTGAGTTTGATTTCTCGAACTTCCGGTTCAAGGCGTTTGAAGTGATGGTTCAGGTTGGGTGCCACTAGTAAATTTGTTGGTCTGTGTGGGTTTGTTAGATAATAAATAATCGTTCAGCCCTTTCGGTGCCTAACGAGGGCTGGGATACTGCCAGGTCGTCCAAGCCTAGGTAGGGGAAGTCGAGAAGCAAAGGTCGGGTTCAAACCACGGACCTTCCGGTGAGTTCGCGCACTAACCACTGAGCCATCTTGCTCCGTGGGTTTATTAGTGCCACAACAATTTAGGTGGAGGGTAGGGGTGAGAGTGAGTGGAATTACTGGTTCGTTCGGACCATACACTTCAGACCTAAGCTACTCCTGTTGATGACTCCATCAAGGGTTGATATTCATCTGCGTTTTTTCTGGGGTATCTGTTTGTTTTCCTCGTGTGCTCTCCGATTCTGGTGTGAAGTTCCCTGGCCGTCTATCCTATATAGACCTAAGTGCAGTCGTTTAATTTAGTTCGGTAGACACAATTGCTATTGCTGTTTACCAGTAGGCGATCCTTCAAGTGCACCGGTACAGAGTGTTTCTCTTCGGGAACACTACTCTTATGTTAGCCGTGTTTAGAATCCTTCGAATGACTTCCGATGTCCCAGATTTGTATGGAATAACAGCATCCCCAATCCATTCCCCGTTGGGTTTCGTCACTGGTACCAATACCCTTCTTAAGTGACGACTAATCAAACTAGTCGAACATCCACTACCAGGAAGTTTGCCCTTTACTTCAGTTTGGGCCGCTGCCCGATCACCTCCTCTTGTGCACAGGGCCCTTATTCGGCTAAGCATTGATCAGGCAATACTACCGAATACCGATTCCAGATGGTCAGATGAGTAGTTCAAAGTCGGCCGAGTATCAGTTATCCTCTGATACACTGTGGCTTTTAGCTTTCCCTTCCCCCCCCCCGCCCCCAGATCTTATTGGAGATGCACTCAATAAAAGATGCTCGAAGCAGAACCTGATCCCCGTAACTTTACTGGTTAATACACCGGACACGCCACTCGCTTCTGTCCAAATAGCATTCTCAGCGACCAAGGCATTCCTCAAATAGAGGATCTACTTAACTACTCGGCGTTTACGTGATATCGATCGCCAGACATGCCGGCTCAGCCGAGACCTTCAGACTGCTGTCCCCAGCAGACTGCCAGTTACTCGAAACCATAGAGACAGAAGTGAAAACCATACAAGGACAACACTGCGAAGAGAGACAAGAGTTCGAAAAGTTTACACGACTCAAGATATTCTAGCGTTATGTAGATGATACATTCATTGTGATTCAAAGAGGCGAAGTCAATGAGTTTTATAACCACCTGAATGACCTGAATTCATACATTAAACTTAGTATGCAGATAGAATCAGCTGTGGGTACCCTTCTGCATGACATAAGGTCGGGGGGATTAAAAACCACAGTATATCAGAAGGCAACAGATACTGGGCGATCTCGTCTGCCCATTCGAAGTCGGTATTCGCTAGTAGTTGAAACTCCTCCCAACTCATCAATCGTTAGTCTTAGGCAACCACACTAGCCAACAAGACCTTTTAACTGGCATTCAACACTGATCTAAAGTGCTAATCTGGATAGGTTTTGCTGATTGGTTCTCCATCGAGCTTACATTCTGTACAACTCGGTAAGCGATATAGGGGGCGAGATGGCTCAAGTGGTTAGACCGTGAATTCACTGACCGGAAGGTCCGATGTTCGAAGCCTTCTACATCTTGACTTTCTGTTCAGGCTTGGGCGACCTGGCAGTATCCCAGCCCTCGTGCTTCCTTCACGTGGCACGGCAGCTAAGCACCGGAAGGGCGTTACAACTAAACGATTTTTTTGAACTCGGTAAGCTGCTCGGTTGGTGTGACAAGGCTTTTGGGTCAAAAGCGAGATGTTTCTCAATTACCAAGTCCTTCTGAAAAGATTACTTCTCAATCAGTTCCCAACTCTATTCACCATTAAAAAACTCGGCTAGTTTACCTAGAAAACCCCTCGATGTTCGTTAAAATGATCAAACCTCTGATTGTTGGTTATTTTGTTTACACCTTCGGGGGCGGGTTGCACGGAACTTCTAATGACGGTGTCTCGGCCTCAAAATCTCCTGTAGAGACTGATTTTATCGTGGGGTAGTTTCTGCCGGATTAACGATTGCCTCTCAATCATCCTTCATCTTTGGGTCAAAGATCCTGTGGATGACTGCGTCTGACTAAGGCTTGTGCGGCTGCGTGGTAGCCGGGACAACTCTTCAGGGCGGCTGTCGATGTAACACTCTTCTTTCTGCGGGCGGCCCAGGTGAAATGAAGCTTTCAACCCTAATGTGGATGTAACCAGCCCTTCACCAACGAGCACTATTTGGAAGCTATGGTGCATGTTTTCGACGTTATGGATTGTGAATTGGGTAAGGTAGGTTCTGGGGGACTAATCGCGATTAGGCATCTTTCTCGTGACGACCGGGTGCAGTATGACTTTTACACACTTACATATGACTTACACATGGAGAGAAAACTCCTCGTAAGACCACTTTGATCGGTTCAATGAAGCACATGTCAACAGTAAAATCCCTTTAGGGAGAAATAGCCCCACAGAAGAGATCAATTTTTGGCACTTGGATTTGGGCGTGAACAATTGGAGATGGTTTCAACCAACAAGCATTGGGTGAAGTCCATGCTAATCTTAGTTTTCTGCATCTTTCCCGTTTTTGTATCTTCTCACGTCTTTATTGATGAAAATAACCATTGTAAACCATGTCAAGATGGAAAATGCAGCCATGAGGGGATTTGAAACCGGGTAGCCCAAATGGCAGCCGGCAATGTTAAGCACTCGGTTACCCGAACAGCGCGTAGTGTGTTCAATGTGTGGATCTGATGCATGAATTCCCCCGCGGTCGTACTGTTGTGTGGCATTTGCCAGGATGCAGTAAGCACGAGATACCGCGAAAACAACTGGTAGGAACAAACTGATGCAAAACTAAAAAAATTATTTTCCATCTGGTTTGTGCCTCTATGGTATCGATCTGGAAGTTTTGACGGCTCTTAAGTTTAACAGGCACTCCAGAATGAAGCGTTCAGTATTTCCCTAACGGTTAGGCTACCGACAAACGGAACAGTGACTGTCGCAGTAGCTA